GCTCTTTCCAGTTTCCTTTTCACTATTGTTTACTGAGTTCTGTTATGGACCAGACACATGATAGGGACACGGGCAATTCAACTTTCATCTTACAAATGGGCAACCTGAGGCTTGGAAAAGTTACTTGTCCAAGTTACACAACTAGTAAAAGGTAAAGGTGGGACTTGAGCCATTACAATCACGTCACAGCTTTTTACTTCCCTTTTTCCTGTGTTCCCAGGAGGGGAGGGTCACACCAGCGCCTGGCCCTGCCAGCCTCCCCAACCCCTGCCTCCTACATGTCTGTGTTTAATCTGGAGTGATGAGAAACGGCAGGAGAAACAAAGGGATTTACCATAGAAAATAAAGCAGGCAGACTCCGGCTGTGGCCCCAGCATCTCAAAGTGAGAGAGAGAACAGGTGGGCTGGTGGAAAATGGTGTCAAATCCTCTGGGAGACAAAGGTCACGTGGAGCAGAAAGGGGCCCTGGACCTTCAGGAGCCCCACAGGCTCGTGGTGCACTGCTGGGCCCCGGAGGAGGCCCCGGGTATTGTTCCTCTAAGCCCTGGGACCCAAAGGCCCCTCAGAAAAGCTCCCGGCTTGTCCTGCCGGGCACGGCGGGCAAGGCCTGTCCCAGGGTCCGGGCCTGCTGAGCCCACAGAGGAGCTGATGATGTGACAGCTCTCCATCTGCCCGGGAAGGCCGCTTAGCACCGCAGGGCCTGAGGACGGAGAGCCGGGTTGTAGCAGAGGGTGAGTGGGAACGGAGAAGGCCAGCACCTGGCTCTGTGGACGAGCAGAGGGCCTGCACCCCACCTCTGCCGCTCATAAGCTGTGTGGCCCTTGGCCAGTTCCTCGGCCTCACTGGGACTGTTTCCTCATCTGAAGGATGGAGACAGTGAATGTATTGAGACATCCCTTCAGGTAAGGCTTGTACCTGATGAGATCACACAGACAGAGCATGGAACCCTGACATCAATACCCACTTTACAGAGGAGGGAACCGAGGCACAGAGGAGTTGAGGGACTTGCTGAAGTCACCAGACATACCAAAGAATAGGTGGAGTTGGGGTTTCTTTCTTGGGTCTAACACGGACACTTGTGCCTTTAAGGTAAAGGAGGGAAGTAACGAGTGATAACAAGACGGGGGTGCAGGAAGGATGGTTCCTGGGGCCCACTGCTCTTCTCCATATCATCAGCCACTCCCGAGCCAGGCTGGTCCTGGCTGCTGGTGGGACACAGAGATCCCCACCCTCAGCTGCCTCACGATTTGGTCAGGAAGACAAGACTAATACCCACGCGGCAAGGGAGCAAAGTACCAGACAGGAAACAAGCACTAAGTGTGCGGGGCACCACGGAAGGGGAAGCTTGCTTTTCTTTTTCATTCTAAACTTAAGGGATGGGAAACATTCTTCCATGCAAACCGGCCCTCGGGGAGGCAGCCAGACCCAGAGCCTGGGCTGCACTGTCCACCCACCCCTCATGGGCCTCAGTCTCCTCGCCTGTGGTGCGGGACGGTGGTTCCTGCTTGGCAGAGCTGCGAGGAGTCTCACAGAGCTCATGACCCGGTGAGCAGGGCCCTGGCGCTCGAGCCCACAAAGGTGGGGCCGAGGGGCTGGGGGGCCAAGTGCTGGAGAAGCTGGCCAGGAAGGCCCACCCAGCAGAGGCAGTGAGAGACGAGGAGGGCCCGCCCAGGCTGGAGAAGGGCCGCTGGGGGACAGAAGAGCAGGGGTGGGGAAGGTGCCGGGGGTGAGAACGGGCAGCACGTGTGGCCGGGCACATGGCCCTCTCCCTCCTTCCCAGCAGAGCCCCTGGCAGGGCTGCCTCCTGGAGCCGATGCCGTAATCAACATTTATTTTGCAGTCACCCACACACCCAACTTGAGGATGGATTTGTGCCAGGAGAGGAGTAAAGAGTGCCTCTCTCATTCATGTAAGCCTCCATGTATCTCCTGGCGGCAGGGACAGCTGGGGATACACTCGGGCTAATCGTGTACACACACAGACATCAGACACACGCCGTCCACACAGGCTATCGTCAGCGGCAAGCAGGACAGCGTGCAAACCCATTCTTGGTCACCCGACAAATGACACTTTTGTACAGTGAGTTAAGGGACAGGACCCACACACGCTTGAGGACCCCTGCCATCTAGCTGCGGTGGGGGAGCCCGCAATGCAGTCAGGAGATAAGAGGTTCAGGGGAGAGACTGGGGCAGAGAAGGCAGGAGAGGGGGAGGCTGGAGCCTCGGTATGGGGGTATCCCTGCGAGGCACTGTAGGGGGTGGTCTGTATATTACCAGGAGCTAACGGGGAGAGGCAGGAGGGCCCCTCATCTGCAGGCTGCAGGCGGTGGGAGGACTGGAGGGCAGGTCCCCAGAGAAGGTACCCGAGGGGCCAGCTTAGCCCGGAGTGGCTTTCCTCTCCTGTTTGGATCACCAAGGACGACATTCAGCACTTCAGACCTCAGCTGCCGAGTGGGGAGCTCTGGGCCATGCGTACCCAGGTGCTAAAATTCATGCATGTGGTTTGTGACCTAAGGGTCAAAATGATTTCAGCAGAGGTGACTGCAGGCAAATGCTTGGCTTTCACTAGAGGTGTTTATGGTCCCATTGGGGGTGTCCTCACCATTCTCGCTGCTGTGGGGACAGCTGTGGGCTCTGAGGCCCCTCAGGGAGTGCAGGGGGGGTGCCCCTGGGCGGAGGGCAGCAGGAGACTGGAGTCAGCAGGCCACTTCCTGGCTGTGTGGCCTTGGGCCAGTAGCTTCAACTCTCAGAGCCTCAGTTTCCTCAATTGTGAAATGGGGTCAACAGCTGCCTATACCACGGGACATCGGAGAAGATTAAATAATGGGAGTGACAGTACTTGGCATGGGGGCTGGCACTTGATAAATGGTCATCTCTTGCTTTTACCACTGCAGTATATGTACACACGCAATGTGACTCACCTAAGGCCCTGAAATATTTGGTATTCGTATTCTTATTATCACTAAAAATACCTCTTAAAGATCCCATGAAGAGTCGTAAGAGCATGACACTTAGAAAAACAGCTGCTATTTTGAGGGAGAAAAAGTAAACAAATCACGTGCAAGGGGAGAGAGGCTGGAAATGAAACTGGTCTCAGAGAAGGTTCTGCCTGAAAGTTCTCAGCCCACAAAGGAGGCCCTGGGCTGCCTGCGGTTGGGGGCTCCTGACCCCAGTGCCTGTCGGGCCAGGAGGGTCCCCTGGGCTCCTGGATCCAGAGAGGAGCCCTGGAGAGGTGGGAAGGCCTCTCCTGGTGGACCTGGTGTAGAGGCCCTTGCCACAGACGCTGGAATTTCACAACTCATCAAGGTGGTGCAGAAGACCAAATTCCTAAATGAATTACAGACCTGATTCCACTCACCAGAGTGCAGTCTCGCTCTGGGATCACTGGGCACTGCCTGTCTCTGACCAGCTCAATGACCCGCCTCCAGCACACAGCCTCGATGGGTCATGGCGTGATGGGGAGACTCTGAGAACGAGGCGAATGAGACCCCCCGTGCTGGTACCAACTCCTTGACACTGATGTGCCCAGGATGCCCCCAGGATGGGGGCCTAGAGCAAGGGTCCCCTTCCTCCCTGCACTGTGCAGGGACTGGCGGGGCAGTGTCCCAGCCGAGGAGCACACGGGGCTGCCTCCAGCGGGCGTGGGGGAGTCTTTCCTCCAAACGCCCCAGGCCCAGATCTGGGTGCCAAAGTGCAGGATGAAACACAAGTTCTTCTAGGACTCAGAAAGGCAGGGGAACGAACAAGGCCACTCATGAGGGCACAGCCCCCTTCAGTTTACAAAGCCCTTCCCAGGGGCGCTGCCACTGGACCCTCTCTGTTGGGTTCTGAGCTGGCCTCGCAGGGGTGGCACCCATGTGGGCAGTGCTCTTATTCCCATTTGACAGGCAAAATCCTGATGTTGGTGGATTGGATGGCTGTCCCAAGAGCTCCAGCGCCAGCCTGTGCCCACACCAGGTGCAATATCATTACCTGACTTAATACTGGCCACTCGCTGTATGGCTGGTATTAGTGGCATCACACCCGTTCTACAAATAAGGAAATTAAGGCACAGAAAGGCCTTTAGAGCAGGGCCCCTGGTGCCTGCTGCCACGTGCAGGGCAGCATTTAGAAATTTTTATAGCAATTTGACATCGCTGTGACTTGCAGGCAGGGTTGATAAGGTATCGGTCTGTGAGGACCAGAAATCATAATAAATTAAAACATCAATTGAGAAGCACTATTTCAGAGCAGAGCCTTTGGAGTCTCAAGGCCTGAGTTCAAATCCCTCCTCTGCAACTTCCCATTGGTGTGACTATTTCTCCGTACTCAGGTGGGGTTGCGCACCACTGAGGGCACCTGCCTCAGGAGCTAAAATGTGCCAAGTGCTTGCAGCAGAGCCTGGCCCTGCCTGTTTGCTACTGGCAGCAGCACTCGATACCTTGCCTGGGGCCACATTGCTGGTTACCGGAGGGGCCTGTTCCCTGATGGCTGTCACTGGAGGGGACTGACCACCAGGTCCTCTGCCACTCTGGAACTGGAGGCGTGTCTGCCCCTGAACCTGTTCACAAATTCAGACCCTCATCCCCCTGCCAGGACCTGCCCCCTTTCATCTCCAGGCTGTGGTGCCTTAATGGAGCATGAGATGTTCTTGCCCAAACTGGAAAAACCTGACGGGCAGCCAGACCTGCCCTGGCAGGCACCAGGGCTGCCAGCAGGTGTCACGAGAGGCAGGCAGGGCCGGGAAGAGCAGCGGTGGCATTCCCTACCTGGCCATCTTGGATCCCTCCTGCAGGGATGGCACCTGCTCCCGGGCATCTCCATCCCTTCCCTAGACTGATCCCCGATGTCCTCAGAGAGCCACACTGTTACCCACAGCTCACCGTGACCCAGTCACCCGGACCCAGAGGGAAGACAGCCTCTTCCCAGCCTTTCAGAACCCCAGGCCCTCCTCCTCTGAAGCATGTGTCATCCATGAACTTGGACACAGTAGGTACTTGACGCGTCTGCTAAATAAACTACCTTTGGGGGCTTCAGCTCCACCTCCCCGAGGCACGTCCTCCACCTGAGCTCCAGTCACCACCAATAGGCTGCTCACTTGTCTTGATGTCCAGCTTGGTCCCCACCCGCTCCTGCTTGTGCCACGCTTTCCGTCAGGTGCTGACTCGTTCCTTCCTCCACAGCCGCAGCCTTCCTTGAGGAGGACACCACCCCTCCCTGCCATGCCCTGTTCCCTGGGGGCTCAGGGGATGGGGTCCTTCTTTGGACGGGGCTTTCTAATTTACATAGCACTTGGCTGTGCCCTGTGCTGCATCCATCCCACACCTGGTAAAGACAGATGCAATTCACACTTCAACAAACACTTATGAATTGCCTACAAGGGCCAGCTGTGCTGGGTGTGGCAGAGGAAGGAGATACACGGCTTGACCTTGGGAGGCTCCCACCAGCCAGACCTCCAGGCCTGGTGGCTTGTGCCAGCGAACTCTGGCCTGGACCCTTTGCTCCACATCACCCAAAGCCCCCAGTGTCCCCCCAGGTGTCCTATGCTTCCTGGGGCTCCTGGAGGTGCAGAGCCTGCCCTTTCCCCTGTGCTCTGAGGAGGTGCAAAGGGGCTTCCAGACCTGCAGCCTGAGACCCACCCTCTGCAGGGAAGACACGGGTCCCCAGGCCTCAGGCCCAGCGTCTGCATCATGCCTGCAGGGCCCCATTTCTTGCCTTCTCTCCACCCCAACAGGGAGTCAGTTCCCACATCATCCTGGAACCCCGCTCTCTGTCCCCTCCACTGAAGCTAACTGTCCTCTCGAAGGTCACAGGTAGGCCTTTCCAAACAGAGGCTTGATTCGGGGCTCCCCCTGAGCCAGAAGCAGATCTGCTGCCCTCCCCGGCTCTAAGCCACCTACTGCTGCCCTCCATTCCTGCTCCCTTGGCCTCCTTCATCCCAGTGGCCTCTGCTCAGGCCTTGGCCTCTGCTTTCCTGTCCTGGGGGGCTCCCTCGGAGAAGTCTTCCTCCCATGGCCTCGACTCCCACCTCTGCTGATGTCACCAGACCTACACTTCTGTCCCAGCCCTGCAACGATTCCTACACGTCAAACCTTCTATCAATCATCACCGGTCTAAACTCCAAGGACTGCTGGCCATCCACACCTTCTGGCCTCCCTTCCACTGTTGCAGTTTTCCAGTCTCCTCTCAAGGACCCTGGGTCCATCTGATACTGTGCCCCTCGCCCTGGCGGACGGGGACATGCTCGCGACTGTGGTGCTGTGTGTGAACCTGACCTTCTTCCTTGCACCCTGCCTCCATATGTGTTCCCACACTTCCGCCTGCCAGGAAGGCCAGGCTCTCACAGAGGAGGGAGGTTTGGGGGATCTGTGTCCACCTCTGATCTTCACCCTCGCATCAAAGCCCACCCTGGGGCCGGGCAGAAAGGCAGAATGTCCCCGGGGCCATGTCCGATGCCTGCAGGCCTTTAGCCAACCGCCCTTGGTGACCAGGGCAGGATTTCTCAACAAGAGCTGCCTGACCTGGGGTGCACGGCTCCCTCTCGTCTGGTGGAGACCCTTCCCCAGCACCCTCCCCTCTCAAAGTGGGAGCCTGGAGAAAGGCATCCACACTGATTTTTAACACATTCAGAGCAACAGAGAAAAATGAAAACATTCACATTCTCCCCGCTCAAATAAACCGACTTCTCCACCGGTCCCATCCCTTGGATATAGAAGCACTATTCAAAAACAAAAAGAAAAAAGGAAAAAAGGAAAAAAAAAGGAACTGAATAGAAAAGCAAAAGGGGGAAAAAGAGAGGGAGCAGAGAGTGATCCCCCCGAGGGAGACGGAAAGGCAGGCAGAGAAGGGGGGAGAGCAGAGACACAAAGGGAGAGAAAGACAGGAGCTTTGAAAGGGAGAATGTTCCAGCGGCGGATGCAGCGCCAGGCAGAGAGGAGCGCTTGAAAGGAGCGGGCGAGGCAGTGACCCTCCTTCACAGGAGGCGCCAGTCACAGTGACAAGACAGACCCTTTCTTCTCTCCTTCTCTCCTTTCTGGGCAGAAAGGGAAGGAGGGGGAGGCTGAGAACTGCAAGTTAATTCCTAAAAACACAAAGAAATAAATTCATTTCCACTGGAGGAGCATCAAAGAGCCGCTTTAAAGGCTTCCCCCAAAACTCAGTACCCCTCTCGGGGTGCAGGGGCAAGGCCGGCGGCCATCAGCTTCCTTTCAGGGCCGGTGGGCCCTGGCCGCAGCTTCCTCCCGTTCAGGCGGGGCCGCAGGTGACCCCATGCGCAGCCCTCCCGGCGCTGCCCCGGCTGGGAGCCAGGAGCCCAAGTAGGAAGGAGCGCAGTGGCGGGGCCTGGAGGAAGGCAGCCCAGAGGCCAGCGCGGGCTGCGTCCACTCACTTTCCAGTACCTGAGGATGGGTGATGCTCTAATGGGCCTGGGATGGGGTGTCCTCCCCAGGGACTGCTCCAAGGAAGCCTGGCTGCCTGCTCAGGCCGGGCCCCCATTCCAGGAGGGTGAGAGGGTGGGTGAGTCCTTTTCAATGGCTGCCAACTGTTGGGTCAGTGTCCTTACAAGGCAGGGGCCTCTGTGGACACTGAGGTTTGTCGTCACGTCACAGATCACCAGTTTTCTGAGTTAGCCAAGACCCCAAGGCGGCACAATATACAGGGTCTCCGGGGAACCCCGCAGGCCTGGATTTGGACTGCTGTCCTTTCCTCCTTCCCGCAGTCAGACGTTAGTCATGGCCGGGCCCGGCGCTAAGCTCCTGGGCAAAGCTGTGTACTGCCCGTGTGCGGCCCTCAGCCTAGTGACTGAACGTCTCCGGCATGTCCCTCGGAGACCACAGGTGAATGTCCCTGGTTCCCCGCTTCTTTGTCTGTCTGTCTTTTGCTCCTCCTCTCTTCCGGTACTCAGTGAGTCACAATAAAACCTGAAATGGGGTCACCTTAATGCAGAGGTTTCTTTTTCCTTTTGATCATCTAAAGGCTGGACAATGAGAAATGCCTGGGAACAGAGAAGCTGATGGAGGAAGACTGATTGGTTTATTGATTGATTGACTGAGCAAGTCTCAACCTTACTCGTCTATTGAGCAATCTGTCCTTGTGAGCTCAGTGGCGGGGGGTTGGGATCATAAAGTGACAAGGACCAATCTGAGGCTTTGAGACGCTCGAGGCTAAACTGGGTGGGGTGGGGTGGGGTGCACCTCAGATCTGGGAAAGAATACCCTTCCTTTGCTGACTTCATCTGGGAAAGGCTGTTGTTATTGGATGAGGCCCGGAAGGGCCTCCAAACTCCAACAGGGAAGCCAAAAAAAGAGGCACTTGGAATATGCAAGGGAGTGCAGGTCGGAAATTTCATCGAACGATCTAGAGCGTATCATCATTCCTGTCAATCCCGCAACGGCAAATTCCAATGATATTCATTGAGCACCTCCTATGTGGCAGCCAGCTGCTGTGCACCCCTAGGGAGAGAGTAGGAAACCAGACCCAGCCCTGCCTGCAAGAACTCGCAGGGGAGGGGCAGGGGAGGGGCGGCAGGCAAGAAAACAGGAGAGTACAAGAACCGGGACTGTGGGGGCCTGAGGGGGCCTGAGGAGGTGGGGGTCAGGGAAGCCTTTCCAGAGGAGGTGGCATGCAATTATTTTAATGCATAACAATGAACTAAATTTTCATTTGTTCTGAAAAAGCTTTAAAGAATTTCACTGGTGAGACTATCCCAAAGTCTAGGGAAGAAAAATAGAATTGATAATGAACTAACAGAGATTGGATCTTTGGGTGTATTGGCAAGAATCAGAATCGGACGCAGGGAAAACTAAGCCACCGAGAAGAATGAACTCAGTGCTAGCTAGGCTCAGGGGTGAACAGCATTTATACTGCAGATTTAATCCCAAATTGAGATAGAGCGATATTAACAGGGAAAGCAAGGATATGGAAGCAACAGATAATGTCCAAAATTGCTAAATCAAGAAGCAAATCAAGGATAAACATGTTGTTGCAGATGTGAATAACAGCAAGGAAAAAGTAAAAGAATCGAAAACAGTTCTGGGTCTGGAAGGCTGGAGTCTCTCAAGGGAGGTGGGCGGGGCCTGCTGCTTTATCATCATCCTTCTTTGATATTTTTAAAAAGATGCATATGGATTATTTTGATAAAAAAATGAAATGAAAAGCAAATAGGCAAAAAGGGCTGGCAAAAAAAGTTACTGTTAAATTAAATTGTGATTGCTCTTGGGTCCTTGCAGTACTTGGCTGAGAAACGGAAAGGACACCACGCTTATGGGCTTAAGAGAAGAGAAATTTCTTTGAGAAAGAACAGAATTCAGTGGGCTCCTGTCCAAGTAACACAATCAAGGGGAACAGAATGGAGAGAAAGTTCCTTGGGGGAAGAAGCCTGCAGAATATCGGCATGAGGCTTTAACAAGATGGGAAACGCCGGGGACCCCTCCCTGGGAGAGAAGGGAACCCCGGGGTGGGTATTAGCACGGCCTATTTAGGTGAGGGCAGCATGATCTCCGTGCAGGGAGAGTGGAGCACGCCAGTCTGAGCCCTGGGACCCATCGTTATGCCCCAGCCCGAGCTTAGGCATCCCAGCCACTGGTCGTTCTCACCAGCCACTTCTGCTGTATGTCCTGGTCTTTTCTAGGCCTTTTGAACTTGAAACACATAACAGCAACACCCCACTTGTCCAGCGGTCTTTTCCCTGGCAACCTCAAATTCACTCAAGAATAGAGAACTGCAGACTCTACCAAGGAGCTCAGACGGCCCAGCAGTAAATCTGATGGGGGTGCCTCCACAGGGGGCCTTCGGCGTCACAGTCACTTCCCACCACGGGACGGAACCCCTCACTCGCGGCCTTTTGACCATCTGGCTTCCCAGCCCACAGCAGACGCAAGCTGTACATCAGGAGGAGCAGGGAGGTGGCAGGGGTGCCACGGCTGGAGGCTGTGACAGCTGATGGCGAGAGTGCAGCACGAAAACTACTAGACGGCAGCCCGGGGCCATGCAGGGCAGGGCGAGCGACTTCAATACCTAAACTTGCGACCACGGCTCAGTCATCAAGAAAGGTCACATCGTATTTGAGGACATTCAGTATTCTCAGTCTAGCACTCAGGAGCGCAGGTGCTGGGTCCAGAGCTGAGGTTGGGCGACACCACCTCGTAGCTCACCCGGTCCTGGAGCAAGCGCAGCAAAGGCATCAGCTCTGCCTGGTCTCCTGGGGGGCGGGGACGTCACCATAGGGCAGAAGGTGCAGGAACCCAGAGTTGGGTCAGAGGGGCTGGGCTCTGGTCCAGTTCTGCCTAAGGCGTGGACCTGGACATAGACTCAGCCTCTCAGACTCTGATCCACTCTAAGAAGAGAACCCCTGCCCAACCAGGCAGGCCTGCTGTGGATCACGTGAAATAATCATAGGCAGCTGAAACATTTTATAAAGATAATGCAATGTTAGTAAAGCCATCTCTTTTTCTGGGTGGCTGGACAGGACATTCCATGACTCATGCAGGGGTAGAGGACACAGGAGATACCCTCAACTGTACCCTCTGCCTTAGGTCTTTTATAGACACAATGTAGCAATTATCAGGCCAGTTTCAAAACCATGCAAACTTAACTTGACCAGACTCAATCAGACATTCTACAAGACAGCTGGCCAGCCTGGACTCTTTCTAGACACACAAAGCAGGGGGACTTTTCTATAGTAAAAGAAGCTAAAGAAACATAATAACCACATGCAATGCATGAGCCTTTTTGAATCAGGAAAAGAGCCTAAAAAACATTTTTGGAGGACAATTGGGGTTGCATGAGTAGGACTGTATACTAGGTATTATTGAATCATGTAATTTCTTAGGAATGATGATAGCGTTGCAGTAACCCAGGGAAAAGTCCTTGCTCCTAAAATAACTGCCCAAGTGTTTAGGGGTGAGGCATCATGGGACCTGTAACTCACTTTCAAACGGTTCAGCAAAACCAACTGAAAGAGGACAAGGTAAGGCAAATGTGGCAAAACAAACACTCAACCGGTGAATCTACACAAAGGTTCTTAGCTTTTCTATTAGGCTTCACATTTTCAAAATAAAACGTTGCGAGGAAACAGAGCATGCAGGTGAGCTGTGACTTGTTCCCTGCATTTGCTGGGTCCACCTTTGGTTCGTTACTCAACCCGCCCAACACAGGAAGTAATGTGCTC